GTGAGCAAACCCACTCACCCATCCTTGATCCTGGAGTCCCTACCTAAGGCAGAAGTGCTCTGTCCTCAGGGGGCACAGTGGCCCTCTAGAAGTCTGAGTGGGGTAGGAGACATGCAGGACAGGGGAGTTCCAAATCTTCACAAATCTTCAAGGACACTCTATTTTCTATTCCCTTACTAGCCCTAAACTTTCCTGTCTCCTTAGAAGTGGCGGCAGTTCCTAAGAATACATAAATGGTTGGGGTGCCTAGGTGGCTCAGTCAGTTGGGCAGTCGACTACGGCTCAGGTCATGATCTCACGGTCTGTGGGTTCAAGCCCTGCGTCGGACTCTGTGCTGGCAGCTCAAAGCCTGGAGCCTGCTTCCGATTCTGTGTCTCCGTCTCTCTCTGCCCCTTCCCTGCTTGCTGTCTCTCTCTTTCTCAAAAATAATAAACATTAAAATAAATAAATATTAAAAATTAAAAAAAAAGAATACGTAAATAGCAAAAATGTGCTTTTAAACTGTTTCTAGATATTAAGGCAGAAAAAAATGTAAACCAGCTTGGAGCCATTTGCAGTCCATTATCTCCTATTGAGAAGTACTATCCTTGTTTGCACGTTGTACCTGGCAGGTGCTAGTTAGAGCCTACCTGGCTCCTGGACTGTTATCCCTGGTTTCAGAGGTGTCCCTTCTAGACTCATTCCAAAAAGAGCAAACGCGTCCAGACTTGGTGCAGTTGAGCCCTGGGGCAATGAGCTGAGGTTATTAACACATTAGCTCCAAACCAGAGCCCCTGCAAGCCGGGAGCAGGGCCTGGCAGAGCTAACAAGTCAGATCCCAAAAAACCTGACAGACTGGAAAAGCAATCGCGGATGAGCGTGACCAGGTGTCCATAAATCAACCATTTAACCTCACCTGATTTTACTTCTCTGGTGACCAGAATGGCAGGAACTTGAGACACGTAACTCACCCACCTCTGAGCTCTAATTAAAGTTTGCTAAGAGCTTTATGATCTGCCCAGACAACTAGCCTGGGAATGCAAAAGTGCTCACGGTGCGGCTGTTATTATTTTGTTGTTGTTAGTATTATCCCGATTTTATAGTACTGATTCAGAGCATAATGGATTCTGAGGGTTCTGGTTTTGTTTTGTTCGTTCGAGGGGGGTCGTGCTGAGTCTCTATGTGTAATGTGCTCTCCTTCCCTTCTGACAATGACGCAGGCAATGTATGCGGCTGGAGAGACGGCCATGCGCTAAACCATCCATTTCCTCTCCTCAACCTCCCTCTGCCCGGCAGACCTGGGTATGAGGTGACTAGTTGGGGTGGAGGATGGAGGCGCTATCTCTGAGCCACTCCTACATGTTCACCACATACACACACTGGTTAGTACGGGAATCCAACCCAGGCATTGGTTCAGAAACCTTTTTAGTTTAGATTCTATGGCTTGAGATTTGGGTGCTAGCACGAAACAACTGGCCACCGGGGTTGAAGCTGGACATTTAACTGGATTCATTTAACTCAGAACTTAAAGGAAACATACCCACACCCACACCCAGCCACTCAGTCCAAACATGGCACCATTGTTTGGGTTATCAGACAATTCAATCTATAAACAGCTAGGGGTTGAAGATTACAAAAAGTCAAACTTTGACCTCTTCGGTTCTGGAACTTAAGTAAACACAAAATCTTTGCATTTGGGAGACTCTTAGAGGAATATCAAGTCCAGATTTCAACACAACATCTGAACTTCCTTGATAACACTACCAATTAGTGGTTATGCACCCTTGAATACCTCAAGGCAGGAGATAGATTTATTTACCCTAAAATTAATGAAGCGTCAATGTCAGGGCCTCTCAACTGCAAGAGCCTCTTCCAAGCCCTGTACTTAACTTTGTATCCCACATTTACATATTTTGTCTTCAAGAAGGCCCCCCAAATGTATTAACTTCAAGCTCCACAAAACCTAAGGTGGGGGTAATTATACTCCAAAGGGCAATCCAAAGTACCTTTATGGGAAAATAAAATCTGCCTCCCTACAAGTATGCCCAAAATATCAAAAATGTGTTTTGGGTAACATAGTGATATTTCTAAGACTGAGGGTGTTCATTGAGTGAGTAGAGCATTTAAGAGGGTCATCTGAAATTCCTGCAGTTAAATGTAACACCAAGTGCTCTTTTTTTTCCCCATTACCTTTCACAAGGCTGTTCCCTCTTTCTGGAAGCTTTCACCCCTTTTGTCAGATTACCTCCTACTTTGCTTTTGGATCTCAACTCATACCTCCTCAAGACTATCCTCCCTAACTGCCCTGATCAGTGCTCATCTATAAAGTATTATCGCATCGCGTTTCTTCATGGCACATAGCACACTGTAATCTCGGTCGTATTTACACACTTGTTTGATTACACTCCCTCTTCCCCCATCACACTTAAAGATGCATCAGGCTGGGACATCACCTTCCTTTTCTTACCCCTGCAAGCCCAAGCTAAGCAGAGAGCCTAGCACAGTACAGATCTGTAGACTGAATCAAGAGTGCACAATGAAGGCTAGAAGGAATTGGTAAAAGAAAAGGTCAAACACAAATTCAATAAAAACAAAAAAGTCAATGTTATAAAGAATTACACTTTAGCTCGTTACAAAATATGTTGTCTGACAACTATTTGCTGTCCAGCGATGAAATAGGCTGTCTTAAAAAGTGGAAGGTGGGGGCACCTGGGTGGCTCAGTTGGTTGAGCATCCGACTTCGGCTCAGGTCATGATCTCACAGTGTGGGTTCGAGCCCCACATCAGGCTCTGTGCTGACCGCTTGCTCAGAGCCTGGAGCCTGCTTCAGAATCCGTGTCTCCTTCTCTCTCTGCCCCTCCCCCACTCACACTTTGTCTCACTGTTTCTCAAAAATAAATAAATGTAAAAAAAAAATTTTTTTTTTAAAGTGGAAGGTGTCCTTCAGAAGTACATGTGTAGTACTAAGGATGTTGAAGAGGGAAATTCCGTACAGGTCTAGAGTTGGGCTCAGATCAACTAGATCATTTAAGATTTGTCCCACAAGAAATCCTGTTCATCCTGTTAAGCTTCTATTGATGGCATTGATGATGGTCTGCATATGTGTGGATACGGTTTCATGTTTAACAAGAAAGACATTAAACAGAACTAAATGGTTAGAAGTTTATGTTCAATATAGGTAGAAACCAACACATAGGAGTAAGTATAGGTACCCAAATAAAAACACAAGCACTGATACCATCTTAATTCAAGAATGAATAAAGATTCCTCCCAAGATAGAATAACAGGGGCTGGATTTAACCTCCTACCTGAATCAACTGGAAAGGAAAACTTATGAAACAATTGGTTTTCAAAAACTTGAAAAATAAGCACAGACTGTGATCCCTGAGTGGAGGGGGATAAAGGAGATGACTTCTGTGATTGAGCCAGCTTATTTCAAGACGCCCAGGCTGCAGCCAAGGAAGGGCAAACCACACAGAGCCTGCAGTCTTGCTGAGTGGGAGAAAGATCAGAGGTCAGAAAGGCCACGGTGCCAGGGCTGAAGAAAGAACCATGAGAATGAGTAGGGAGAAAAGTTTTTGGAACTCATACAGGGCTGGGAATAATTCATGTTCCTTTCAGCCAGAGTAGAATGCAAAGGCCATTAGATAGGGCAGGGGTTGGCAAACTATACAGCCCACAGGCCAAATCTTGCACACAGGTTGTCTTTGAAAGCTTGCAAACCAAGAATTATTTTTATACATTTAAAAGATTATAAAAACACACAAATAAAAATATGCAACAGGGGATGATCTCTATACATGGCCTATAAACCCTAGAATATTACCATATGGCCCCTTACCAAAAGGGTTTACCAATCTCTGAAACAGTGTTGAGAAAGTTACTGGTTTAGTAGTATAAATAAATTAGCCCTAAGCTAAAGGCTGCTCTGGACTTTTAAAAGCAAATTCAAAAGGATTCTACCAACTTATAGTAACTTAGCTAACAATGAACTAAATCTAACACTATTTAATGAAATACAACAAAATCCAGTGTCCTAAGACATAAAATTGACATCGAGCGTCCAGTAAAAATTTGCAAGACTGGCAAAGAAACAAGAAAATATTACCCTGTATCATTTACCTATTGCTGTATAACCCACTACCTCCGAAACGTGGTGGCTTCAGACAATAATCATTTATTATTTCTTATGTTTTTTGTGAATCAGAAATTCTTACAGAGCACAGTGGGGAATGCTTGCTTCTGCTTCACAATTCTGGGGGCCCAACCTGGAAGATTTGAAGCCTAGGGGCTAGAATTTTCTGAAGGCTTATTCAGCTACATATCTGGCAGTTTTACTGAGGAAAGAGTTAACAGAACAGATCTGGTTGCTTATTTGTTGCATATCTCCAAGAGAATCTGGAACCATGAATGACCCTTGGCCAACCACTGGCAATATGGCCCTTAGATGTCAGGTGATGATTTTGTTTTTGTGTACCTGGAGCAACGGGCTGTGCTATACTAGCCTGACAAGTTGTTTGGCTTGAGTAGCAAAATCAACGATGTGCACCTAGTTTCACTGTTGAGACCCTGAGTTTCAGTTGCCATGGCTGGTCATGTGGTAAGATCTGCTTATGTGACCATGACCAGCACCTCAAAAAAGCCTGGGACCCTAAGACTCCCACAGGATTCCCTGGGTAGACACATTCCATACATGTTCTTATCAGTTCCCGCTGGGGAGAAAGCAGATTGTGTGTGGCCTCTGATGAAAGGCTCTGAAGCCAGTGCTGAACCAGTACTGAACGTGTCTAGGCTCTGCCCAGCGACCATACCTTCCCTGACGCTTTACTCAGTTACCCTTTATGATAAACTTTAGCTGTGAATATAACCTTCCCTTGAGTCTTGTGAGTCCTTGTGGCCAATCATCAAACTTGGGGTGGTCTTGGGACCCTCAAAAACACCAAGCAAATACAAATCAAAAGAAAGCCAAGTGTACCAAGTGTATAAGTTATCCATTGCTGCGTAACAAGTTACCCCAGATGTAGCCATCTCAAACAGCAAACTTTTATTATCTCATAGTTTCTGTGTATCAGGAATCTGGAGTGGCTTAGCTGGGTGTTCTTGTTCAGGGTCTGTCCCAGTCTAGGTGTCAGGCTTGGCTGGGTCCGAAGGATCTGCATACAAGCCCACTTGCCTGGTGGCTGGCCTCACTGCTCGGATTCTCCATAGGGCTGCTCATGACAAGACTTCCCCCAGAGGAGTATTCTGAGAGAGAGAGAGAGAAAGAAACATGGTCTGTGACAGAAGTCACAGTGTTTTATAATCTAATCTTAGAAGGGAAGTAACTTTGCTTTTACCATATTTTATTAGTCACACAGAGCAATTTTGGTACAATGTGAGAGAGGACTACAGAAGGGTGTGTGTACCCCAAGTATACCAGGGCTTGGGGATCATTGGAGACCATCTTGGGAGCTACTAAAACAGCTGCATTAACATCAGACAGGTAGATTCCAGAAGAAGGAATATATCAGGGATAAAGAGGGGCATTTCATTACAGTAAACGGGTCAATTCCCCAAGAAAATGAAAAATCCTATAGTGAGCTTCATGCCTACTTCTAAGACCCAAATGGACGTTTTCTCCATTTGTGTTTGTTATAAATATTTTCTGTAGGGGATATTTGGCACATTTCTAATCCCATCTGTGCTCTAGCATCATCTTCATTGTAAGTTGTCTTTGTTGACATCAAGGGAATCCACAATCCGATATTTTTTCCTTTAGTAAAATAATTATGGAGATGCCATAAAAAAAAAATAAAAGCACATTTGTAAGCAGTTCTGCTTTAAATAAAAAAATCACAGTGAGAAAAAGTCACCTAGGTGTTAAGAAAGGGTGTGGGGATTTCAAGAAGTCAGAGTTCAGCAGAGCAAGCAGGAAATCATAGCCACAAACCAGAAACAAGGCCAAGGCGTCAGAGGCAGTGGTCATTTTTAATGATTGATAGGCCAGCCAAATTTGACATCCATCCCATGGATGTCTTGGGAGTGGGGAGATGGCACTGGGAATCCATTTAACCAAGCCTTGAGTATGTGAGGCTGAAGCTGTCTTGTTTGTTACTGACATCTTGGTACCTAGCACATAGTAAATGACTATAAAATGTTTACCTCTTTATGGAAAAAAGAAACAGTCTGTAATGGGAAGGCCTGCCAAAATGGACCAACATGTTTAAAGACATCATTTGAATATGTATTCCAGAATGTAGACATATATTTCAAGACTAGTGCATGTGGTCTCTTCCCAAATTCTAATAGCTTGTGATAAGAAGAAAAGAAGAATCTGGAAGTAAATTTTATACAAGAATCAAAATAGGCAAATTTCAGATTTCCCCTGGCATTCAAGACTCGCCTGATCTGGCTTTTACTTATTTTTCCAGACTTCTCTATCAGTTGTACCTTCTGGAAACCTGCTATTCCAGTCAAATTGGACAAATACTATATTATCTTGATTTAATTTGTACATATATCCCCACTTCTTAATATCTCTGAAATCAGGAAGTGTTTCACAATCCATGCATCTGGATTATGGCCCTCTTTTAAATTTGTCCTGTATTTTCTTCTCTCAGAGATTTGGTGAAAGGTATTTTTTCTGCCTCTTCTACATCCGTTGAAATCCAACCAATCTTTTCAGATGCAACTTGAACCCAAAATCTCCCAAAAACCTTTCCTAACCAGCCCTTCCAAAAATTAATTTGCTTTCTTCTCACCTACATGGTACCAACATCTAAGTTTACATATTCTGTACCACTTAATATGTGTCCCTGTCTTACTTCTCCTTCCAGATTATAAACATCCAGAGGACAAAAAATATGGCTCTTACAGCCTTGCATTTCTCATAGCAGGCAGGCAGCACCTATCTTCCTCATTTTGATGACCAGTAAATACTACTTCAGTGAGTGAAGGAATATGTTCATAATTATACACAATTATATTTAAAAGAATACAACTTGTTACAAATAATGGGAACAATTACAATAGGAAAACATGCCCCTGGTTAAACAGGAAAAAAAGCAAGCTGTGGAACAGAATGTATAGAATGATATTTTTGCTAAATCAACAGCAAGTCCCTCCCTAGCATGTAGGATATGAATGTTTGTATATACACAGAAAGTTATTTGGAAGAACACAGTCCTAATGGTTAACATCAGTTATCTCTGGAACGTAGGATGACGTTGTTAAAATTATGAAAGTTCACAAGAGATTTTCCCTTTTCAGTTGTTTCCTTCACACACACACGCACGCACGCACACACATGTACACGCACACACATCTGCACGCAACAAAGTGTGTGAATTTGTTTTGCAGTGACAAGGGGAAAAAAGACTAAAGGGCTGGCGATCCTTCAGGTACATAGCTTTATGGTGGGCTGGCGATCCTTCAGGTACATAGCTTTATGGTAAAGGGGAACAAGAAAGCCCAAAATTCAATACATAGAAAGTTATGAGTTATGAGATATGACAACCAAGAAATAAGATTAATTCAGAAAACCGTAGAAGAAAAATAAATAGTTTTCTGAAGTCAATTGTAACAGAATTCTGGAGCCTAATACACTGGTTGATTTAAAACTACGATCACACAAAAAAAAGGTCAGGGCAGTGGGTCAGCGTAGGGAAGTCCATTACTTTAACAACAAAAACCCCTGTAGCTTATGTTAAAGTTTAAATGAAGCAAGATTCCTATTCAAGAGACATCCCTCAAATGTGCTTTTCCTCCTAAGAGTAGTCCCGTCAGAGGCAGGAGAAAAGTGTGTATTTATATGGAATCCTGTGACACCACTGATTCGAAATACACTGAATGAGATAGTTGTATCTCTACCATTAGTAACAAGCAGTTAACTTTATTTTTTACTGCTAACCATGCACCCCACACTGTGCTAAGTGTTTTCCAGGTTTTATTTTACTGGTGACTCCTCACAACCCTATGACATTACTGTTCCCATCTCACAGATGGGGACACTGAGACGTAGGCTAAACAAGTAATAGCATCAAGCTTGAACTCAGGATGTCTGTGAACTGATGCAGAATTCCTCACTCTTTGCCTCTTCACAAATGTGCCCGTCCCACCATCATACCTGTTATTGCTAGACGTCCTGTTCTTCCTTATTTCACTTTCTTACACCACTGCTGTGTGAAGGCGTGTCCTGATTGCCCTTATTTGTGCCAACGTTACACAAGACTCACCATCACGCAGCTCAGGTAAGTTCTTCCAGACAGAGAGGTACGTTCATCGCTGCATAAAGCATTTAGGCTACCAATCCCTTATACACCAAGTTTGAAGTCCAAAGAGGTTTGATAAATGAAAGGCTTTTTATAACTCATTTGATATCAAAGCCCAGCCAGACATAAACTCATTTAGCAACGAAACCTGCCCTGAACTGACTTGAAGCTATTTTTAATCTTCATTGATCACAATCAGTGTGAATTTTCATACACTTCACTGCTGAAATATTAATTTGCTTTAGTACAGGGTGCTGCCCAGATGTCACTCAGGGTTTTATGTATGGTACAATATATTTACCTTTTTACCCACCCAAGAGCCACAAGTCCTAAATTACAAAATACTTCTGGACCCCAAGGGTTTCAGGTATGTAATTTCAGATGTGTATTTCCTTTCTCCTAACACTCCCCACCCCCTTGTTTTAAATTAAGTGTTTTCCCAAGTCTAATACTTAAGATTTGGTGAATACGTAGATTTGTCTATGGCCAAGTTATACGCACTTTGTAATCTCACAAAATTCAGCGACCACAGTGACCACAGCGACCACTTCTTGAACTGTGTTCTTACACAAAAGGCATTACACAGCCCTACCCCCTTGCTGATTGTTTCATCATTCATTGACTGAGAGCCACTAAAACATTTTCCCCCCAAAGGATTAACTTTGTTTTCCCTTTCAGACCATTTCTAAGTGTGGGAGACTGCTTTGTTAGGCCACTGGTTGGCCGTTTTCCTGACTTTTTTGGAATATGTAAATCAGTTCATAATTCCATGTGGGATCGGATTAACCATAATGGGATTAAAATTAAGGCAATCCAGATGAGCCTTACACTTCTAACTGATCTGGGTTTTTTTAACCTGAATTTTCTGGATACATTTACCCAGACTCGCAGAGTTGGCTTTCTCATTCCTCTGCCATGATTTTCCGGTATTCTGTTGGTGTGCTTTCCCAACCTTTAGCGCCCAACCATAGCATCTGAAAATTCATTAAATCTGGCACTTCGGAAATTTACAAACTGCCAAGAATTATCATTCACTAACTGAAATTTTCCATGATAGATATCTGGGTCACAAAACTGAATCCTGAAAGTCAAAGAAAGATCCCCAAACCAAGGAGAAGGAAAAGCACTTCTGACTTCAGGCACTTTTCTTGCTTTCCTGTGGTAAATCAGCTGCTATGACAGTAGACTCACTCAAAGAACATGCAACTCACTGCTTAAAATAGCCAAAGAGCGTTTTTCCCTAGGGAATCAGATTCTGCAAGAAATTACTAAGTCTTACAGTATTTCTATGAGCACTGCTTCAGCCATCAAGAATTAGAGGGTTGAAAACATTCGGCTGTTTCGGGTCCTTAAATTTTAGCGGAGAACAAAGGGGAATTCCGTGGTGTTTAGCATAGATGGATAGATATGCCTGTTGTTTTAAAAGCCTCCCATTTGGTTCAAGTTGAAATCACATTGATTTGAAGTCCAGACTTTAAAAGCATTAATGAATCCTTATAACATCAGCGTGGCATACATAAAGGCCAGTACGCCCATTTTACAGGGGACTGATTAGAATGAAGATGTTGTCAGGTATATAAGATCTATTTCTACCTTACAGTAAGTTTTTCAGTTCAGAAATAAGGTCTTGGGACTCAGCTCCGTGAGCAATTGCTATGCGATATGACTGCTCTTCTCTGCGTGCCCCGTTATTCTTGCTGACGCTGAAGGTCTGCCCTGTCACTTCCCAGAATATTGGTGGCACAAGGAGGGTTGAGGACCTGACAGACCCCTAAGGAAAGCAGGGGCTGCCCCCAGGAAATGGGGGAGGGGCATGCCTGCAGGGCTCCTGTGGGTTAGCAAGAGCTCTCTCTCCAGTCATCATACTCCGTTCTCCTTAGCAAGCGTCCAGGGGCCCTGCTCCCTTACCTGCCCTTTCCCACTGAGGCCAGGCTGCTCTTGCCTCCGAATCCTTCTGTGGAGTTTCCCTCTCTCATCCGCCACTCTTGTGCACGGGGCCGAGCAACCAACGGCCTACGGGACTTGATGTGCGTGGGCCTGTTACCAAATGGAAACTGAAAGGCAGCGAATTTCATCTCCATGAGGCACCAGGGCTATTTCAGAGAGCAGGGGTGCCAGATTCATCTGTAGTGATGGTACTCAAAGGGTAATTGCAGAGAGCAGAGCAAAATCCTCACGAAAATCGGAAGTAATACACTGTAGTTTCGGGAAATTCTGAAAAGAGAAAACATGCTACGGACTTTTCTACTTCTCTCTCTTTTTAATTTTTTTTTCAATGTTTATTTATTTTTGGGACAGAGAGAGACAGAGCATGAACGGGGGAGGGGCAGAGAGAGAGGGAGACACAGAATTGGAAACAGGCTCCAGGCTCTGAGCCATCAGCCCAGAGCCCGACGCGGGGCTCGAACTCACAGACCGCGAGATCGTGACCTGGCTGAAGTCGGACGCTTAACCGACTGCACCACCCAGGCGCCCCTACTTCTCTCTCTTTTTAAAGGGTTACCTACCTTGTTTCTGTGCTAAGCACACATTTCCCTAAATGGCAACTCCACTCAAGTTCTTTCATCCTGTAGTATTTGTTTATTTATTCTACATCCACTTAGAATTTTTCTCTCCCCCCCACCACGCCTTTTTTTTTTTCCAGTAAATATAAGGATGTAGGAAATGCATTAGCATTTATTATCTGTTGAGGCAGCAAGGTGCTTACCAAGCATGAGAAGCCAGTGAACTCCCCAGGCTTGGGTGCCCTCAGGGAGCTTATGTTCTGGGGACCTGAAAGAGCCTGAGGAGCAAAGCTGTCATGAACAAGTCACTTGTGTGGGGTTGCTCTGAAGGTTTGGCATTTGTCCGAAAAGAGTAGGATATGTTGATCTACATTGGATATTCTGGATCAAGTATCAATGAAATCCTATCCTAGGCTTTGGCACAAGACCAAATTTGAATTATAGGAGATAGTCGTGGCCTTATACTGGAGTTATTTTGTTTTGTTTTGTTTTGTTTTGTTTTGTTTTTTAACACAAATACTACCAAAGGAAACTCTAAAGCATTGTCTAAAATAATGCTTGCAACCACGGGTTGAAAATTAAAACATTTAAAAATTTATAATAAAGAGATACATTGGCATCTCTCTGTGTTCTTTGAATGGAATTTAACCAAAGACGTACATTAACTAGTCATTACAGTCAAAGTGATTTCACCGGCTGCTCATTTTTGCAGTGACCGTGTGACGGCTGCAAGTAGGGACTGCATCTGTCTGTCTTCCGGGGTCTACGTTTTATTGGTGGTCCCTCATCTTTCCCCTGTACTTCCTGGGAGCTACAGATCTCACTCCTAGGTCCATCCACATTCACATCATGTCTGAGGAGATACCCTAGCCTCCCCCTGTGAGCCTCTGCTAGACCAACTTCACCCTGAGGAGATACTTTCTAAGTTTGTTTCTAATGTCTGGGCTCCTTTTTTATTCTGTCCTCAGAAGTTACTAATATCCACCCTTATGGCTCCACTATATAAAACCTCTTTGTCTAGAGCCAGCCCACACTCTGCCAAAGAAGGATTTCTTAATTCAGGAAATCAGATCCACTAAACTAACTATCTGGCTCTGCTTCAAATGCTCTTGTGAGTCAGGCTAAATGCTTTTGCTAATATAGTTGTCAAGAAATTGTGTTTGGGACCTGGGCTGAGAAACAGATGTCAGGGGCTACAGCTGTAGCCCTATATCTGCAGACCGAGGGTAGCAGGGCCAAAGAATCGGACGTCCAATGAAGAGTCTGTCAGTCTTCCAGTTACTCAATGAGGCTGAGAAAGATAAAGAGCTGGAGAAGTGCCTGGGTACTACTCTTGAATAACCACATCAGCCCCCTTTTAATTATTTATAGCAAATAGACATAGCTCTAAATGAATCTCAAGCTAGAAAGGGATATATTACCTAAGTTCACTGGAAAATGCTCAGGCTGCAGAGTTACTGGGGGACAGTCTCTGGCCAGACCAGAGACAGAGAGCCATCAGAGGCCAGTGAGCAGGCCAGGCCCGGCAGAACCATCTGACCCCAGCAGGGCAATAAACAGGCTCTTAGGGGACAGTGAAGAGCTGCCCCCTTTCAGCATAACCTCTGAGGACAGTGGCCAAACACATTTGCATGAGCAGTTCATGTCAGTGGAGAATCTCAATACAAAAAGATCATTTTTGCCTATAATCTTTATTGATATATCTCAGTAGCATTTCCTTCTGACTTGGTACGACTAATATGTGTGCAAGCCCCCTGCTAGCTTCCATCTAGAAGTTATCTTCTGAGTTTTACCAGTTATTCCAAACATCATCTCAAATCGTAGTTCTTTGTTCTAGCAAAAATTTGAAGATGTTTATGCCATTTTTTAAACCTAGCACAATAAATAATGCCAGATTTGCCTCTGTAATAATGACATAGAGTAGGCAGAACCCAGCTCCTACTTAATTCTGTGAGTTTCATCACATTATGGTCCAGGAGGCACAGAGGCCTAATCAAAAGCATCCATTGGTATGTTTTGCATATGTCCTTCTCATGTTTCTCCATGTACATATATTATATATACGTGGCACTGTTATCTATAAAAAAGTAAAAAACTGGAAGCAACCTACATGTCCATAACTGGGGACATTTTTTTTTAATTTACATTTTTTAATTAATTTAAGAATTTATTTATTTATTTTGAGAGAGCGCGCGCACACACACACACACACACACACACACACACACACGTAGGGGGAGGGGCAGGGAGCGAGGGAGAAAAAGAATCCCAAGCAGGTTCGATGCTGTCAGTACAGAGCCTGACATATGGCTCGAACTCATGAACCATGAGATCATGACCTGAGCCAAAATCAAGAGTCAGATGCTTAATCAACTAAGCCACCCAGGCACCCCACAACTGGGGAAATTTTCATCTATGTTATAGTATACCTAGAACATTTTGCAGCTCTTTCAATGACGTTTAGAATATTTTGTAGCAATGTGGGGAAAGAATTGACTTGCATAGTTAAGTGAGAAGGCCAAGATACAAAATTATTTGGATGATTTGACATAACCTATATAAAAATTAATGCACATGACAGGGTGGGGAGTACAGGAAGAATACGTGCACACCTGATTAATAGGTGGCATTTTGGGCGTATGATCATAGGCCATTTCCTTCTTATTTTTCAAAATTTTCATAATGTTACTACATTGTTTTCACACAAAATCGAGCATATTATACATACACACATGCATGCCTCATCCAAGAGAGTTTGGACTTTTCTAGGCTGTGCATTTTAATATTATCAGTTATAAATAGAAGTAATTATTCAAACTAGTTTGACCTAGGGGACTTATTGGACTATATCATTAAAAAGTTCAGAACATGGACCACCCTCAGGATGAGCTGTTCCAGAAACGCATTGCGCCCCCAGTGCTGGGGACCCATTCCTCTTGACTCCACCTGGCGGCATGTACCAGCCTTTTTGTCACACTTCTCCCTTGTGGCAGAAAAATGGCTACAGCAGCTCCATTTTAGAGAAAGAGCAAGGTCAACTTTGCTCCCGGTTGTCAAACAACAATCTTTGCTTCAGTCTGATGCGATCAGCATGGACCAGTTGCTGAGACCAGGGAACTGCTACACCGGCTTCAGGTTAAATTATGTCACCCGCGCACGCCGGTCTGCAGGAGGCTGATTACTGTTCACAAATAGTTACTGCCTCTCCCTGCTGGAGGATTATACTTCCCCACCTCACTCACATCAGGTTTAACCCTAAGTTGCACTGGCTATTGAAATGCAAAACACCAACGTTCAATACCAAAATGTGACATAGTTGTTTAAGGCTACACTTGGCTTCCCTGAAGCCATTTTGTTCCTTCTGTCAGGTAGAAGCATTCAGAGTCAGTGTGTGGTTTGCCATACTCTTTCTTCTCTGTACAGTCTCTGGCGATATCCCAAACAGAAGCTTCAGTGTCAGCCTGGGTTCAAAAATAAAGATGAAATGGGGTTGAGCCACAGCCAACCCAGACTGCACATGTAGCATGAGCTGCACCTTTGTTATCTGCTGCTGATTTGGGGGCTGCTTGCTGCAGAACATAACCTTCCTTCCCTGACTGGACTTGAGTCCTAGCTTAGCCATTTCTTTGCTACATGAACTTGGGTAAGTTATTTCACTTCTCTATACTTTCTTTATTTGCAAAATAGAAATGATACATAAAACTCCTGGTACCTACGGTAGTCCCCCCTTATCTGTGGGGGATATATTCACCCCCAGTGGGTGCCTGAAATGACCAATAGTACCGAACCCTAGATATACTATGTTTTTTCCTACATTCATACTTATGATAAAGTTCAATTTCTAAATTTCATGCAGTAAGATATTAATGATAACTAATAACTAATAATAAGATAAAACAGTCATATCAACAGATTGTAACAAAAATTATATTAATATGGCCTCTCTCAAAATATCTTATGTACAAGACTCCCCCTTCTTGTGATGATGTCAGGCGATAAAATGCTTATGCAATGAGATGCAGTGAGGTGACACAGCGTTAGGCCACTACTGACCTGATGATACATTAGAAGGAGGACCACCCACTTCTGGACTGCAGCTCCCCCTGGGTAACCAAAACCCCAGAAAACACAATCATAGATGAGGAGAGACTACTGGACTCAGAAATGACAACTGTGATTATTTGTTGATAATAAGAATTATAATTCTTACTTCCATGGGGGATTTTCTCCTAATTTATCTTTGTGATTTTTAGGAAGGAAAAAAGTCCATCTGAAAAATAAGGTATATTACATTCTTCTTCACCAAGACAAAGTTACCCAGAGTTTCAGTATATATACTAATTATCTGTAGCTAGAAGAAGAAATTCCTCCTCAAGATATAAATGTTAGTTCCTTGAAACGTTCTTCCCTTCTTGAGAAATAAAAAAATATTAACCCAAAATTTCATATGGGAAAAATGTTTTATCACGCTCAATACCAGAATGTGATAAAGCTATTCAACAGTATTGTTGGCTTCACTGAAGTAATTTTGTTTCTTCTCGGAGTTATCTATTATTGAAGATAGCCAAGCAATGGATATTGAAATAGATGATTTTTCTATCCCATTGTGAAAAGTCTTGTGTTCCCTGACCCCTTCCCATAAAGTGATGCATTCTTGTGTGTGTGTGTGTGTGTGTGTGTGTGCGTGTGCGTGTGTGTGTGTGTGTGTGTGAGGGACCGAGGGAAGGAGAGAGAGATTATAGTCAGAGAAATGCAATTTAAAAGTAAAATTTCTACTTTCTTCCTTGAGAATGTAATTAAATCTAGACTTGAATCTAAGTTGACTTGATTTTGTAATCAATAATTATTTTACATTATGGAATACATTTTCCATCTTAGACATTTATCACTGACATCTGATATCTAGCATGTTTTTTCAGATTATAGGTTTTATCTTGCTTGGTTTTTCTGGTATCCAGTAATTAAGGTATGAGGCAAGTGTTTATTCCCTTAGATAAACTAATGTGCTTTGAAGAATGCAGTATAAATAATGGTTTAAAGGCATTAGGGTAGTAGCTCCTACAAACTGCTCTGCCACAGAATTACCTGAAATCTTACACACACACACACACACACACACACACACACACACACACATACACATGCACACACCTTTCTGGGCCCTACCCCAGGACTTGTGAATTACAATCTCTGGAAGAGGGGCTCAAAAATTGTATTTAAAAATCCCAGGGCATGACATCACCAAGATGGTGACATAGGATGTTCCTGACTTCTCTCCCCCTCACAAGAACAACTAACATCTGTTCAAGTATTAAGACACCACTGAGAGAATCCTAGAATATGAGGGTAAAGCTGAAGCTCTCCCCTGCACCTCAGAGACCAGGCCAGACTACATTAGAAAGTTTTTCAAACTTTATCATTTTAATTCCCACTAGGATTGGTCCCAGTGGATCTACATCCTCCTTAACAGTTGTTATTGTCAGATTTATTTTTTATTAAAATGTTTATTTTTTTGCCAATAAAAATGGATATACAATTTGGAGAAAAATTTCTCAAAGACCCAGATTTTGGTTTCTAACCAAGGATCCTTATGAAATGACTGATTCCAGGGCCGGGGTGGGGAAAATGTAAGATGAGCTTGGAACATTTTCTTGTGCCAGAAAGTAGAAAATTGCTCAAAGAATGATGGGAGTCATGTCAAAGCACACACAACTCTGCTTGACAGGAGTCTTGCTGGCCACATCTGGAAAATTTGAATATGAAAGTAAAGTAATAGCAATAATAGATTAGAATCCAGTGAATAAAATATATATATTGATATATTCAAAGGAAGGAAGGAAGGAAGGATGGAAGAAAGGAAGGAAAAAGGGAGGGAGAGAGGAAGGAAGGAAGGAAGATGGAAGGGAGAAAGGGAGGGAGGAAGGAAAAGTTCTTATGAAAGAATGTCAACTTATACATGTGGAAGGAATAATACAATTAGAAAATCACCAGTTGGGCAAGAATAATCAATAGATGCTAAAACTAATAGTTAAGAGTTTGATGAGGAATAGAAAGAATATTTACATCATTTCAAAGCATCTCCCCACAAGTGACATCCTAATGACAGAGGAAAACAGTAAATTTACAGTGAAAAAGTCTGCAGGCACCATCTGTATTGGCTTGTATGGTGTCCCCTAAAAGATATGTTTACATCCTAACCCCCAGGATCTGTGAATGTGACCTTTCACATGCACACAGGGTCTTTGCAGACATAATTAAAGATTTAATGAAATCATTCTGAATTACCCGAGCCCTAAACACAATGACAAGTGTCCTTATAAGAGACAGAAGGGGAGAAGGCATGGACAGAGAGAAGGAGGAGAAGGCCATGTGAATATAGAGGCAGAGAAGCTATGAGAAATGTCGACTGCTATGAGAAGCCAGAAGACGCAAGGAAGGATTATACCCTAGACTTTCCAGGGGGAATACAGTCCTGACAACTTGTTTGAAGCCTCGTGATTTGTGGTAATTTGTTATGGTGGCCCTAGGAAACGAATACACCACCTTAACCCAATGATCAGTGTTAGTATCACCAATAGAGGGATTAACCTACATCCTGTGGCTCTTGATGAGATGTGCTAGAAAGCTCGCAGCCTCACTCACATAATGTTCCTGCCCAAACTGCACAACCTGAATCTAATCATGAGGAAAGAGTGGACACATCCAAATTGAGACCCATTCTCCAAAGAAAGTTGTGTGTACTCTTGAAAAATATTGAGGTTATAAAAAAAACCAACAAAAGGCTGAGGAACTGTTCCAGATTAAAGAAGACTAAAAAAAAATATATGACAACAAAATATAACGAGTGTCCCGGTCTGTGAAAAAAACAGTCATTTGGGGGATATTTGGCAAAGCTTGAGTATTGGATAATAGTATTTTATCAATCTTCAAGTTCTTATTTTTGTTACTCATATTATGATCATGTGACAGAATATCCTTGTTTCCAGGAAATAAACACTGAATATCAAGGGGCAGGGGGTCATACTGTCTGCAGCTTATTCCCAAATGATCCAGAAAAAAAGGATCTATGCATACATATAGAAAAAGAATGAAGAAGTACATCTGGCAAAGGTTAATAAGTGGTACGCAAGAGTTCTTTGTGCCATTATTGCCTTTTTCAGCAATTTTGAAATTACTTCAAAATAAGATATTTTTTAAAAGCTTGCTAGATTATTATAACGTGCAGCTGGGGATGACAACCACTGCATTAAAATTCACTTGTTAAGGCAGTGGTTCTCATCTGGGTGACTCTGCCATCCAGAAAACAGAGAAAAGTCTGAAGACATTTTTGATGGTCAATTACTGCACACGGCGGGGAGAGGAGAGCAGGGATCCGGAGGGTGCCACAGGCATCTAGTGTGTACAGAGGCCAGGGATGCTGCTAAAATAGTAAAATGCATAGGACAGCCACCCGTAAGTAATTATCTGACCTTAAATGTCAATGGTGCCACCGCTAAAAACCTTGCTTTAAGGAAATGATACACCTTCGCCAATAGAACCGGAGTCTAAACACTTATGGAAAATGGCACCAAGTTAATATGGGTTTAAAACGCTCCCCACAGCAACATTATATATCAACCAAAGATTCCCATTTTGTGTGAAAATACATTTGCATTTCAAGACTTGGAAGCCACAGACAGAAATGCATACAGTGACATGTGACACCAAACATCAGACAAGAGTATAAAGGAAAGGAGACGCGTAGAAGTTTGGCTCATTCATTTTAACATCAACCAAGTAGCTTTCATAATTTTAGACAAGTCCACCGCAAACGCCATTGCAGGGCATGTGAACAGATCAGTGAAAACGACAAATAGACTCCTCTCAAACTTACGACTATATTCGTAAAGCAGTATAAATATATTACATTACTGGTTACCTAGGGTAATCCGTATCACTTCTTTCTACATCTAATGAGATCTCCCATTTCTGTATTTTTACCATAGGAGAGCTACACAAACATCACCATAACTGAGTGACGAATCAGACAGTGTTAGTCAGATTTTCACATAACAATCCACAAAACCTCAATGACTCTCAACAGCAAACATTCATTTCTCATTCATTGGTATGTGCCCTGGCTGAGTTGACCCTGCTTCAAGTTCAGGTCTGCTCTGCATGTCCCTCACTCCGGGACCAGTGATCCCCTGGACAGATGGCCATTGCCTCATGGTAGATCACAGGCGCTCTAGAAGCCAGGCCAAACTCTGCGAGTACATTTAAAGCGTTGCTCACATCACATGTGCTGATATCCTGAATCTCCATGTCGGTATAAGTATTTTTATCTCGGTTTAATTGTTACATAGTATTCTGTAGCATAGGAATGCCATCATTTATTAAGCCTCTTATAACTGTACATTGAGATTATTTCCAATTCTCCCCCTATTATATGCGATGCTGTGATAAATATTTTGTAACTCAATTTTTATCTGAATTAACCATTCACTGTTAAGGAAGAAAACATCCAAAAGTGGAATTTCTGGATGAAGGCCTAGAAACAATTATTTTCAAAAGGTTTTTCTTCTCAGTGTTGTCTGGCGTTCAAATCAAAGCAGTCAATGTTAGGCAGTCAGTTGGGAATACGAGGATTTAAGGTATTGACACATGTATGTGGGTGGGTAGGCATGGGAGAGGAGCAGAAGAGAGGGGGAAAGAGAAGAAGGGAGGAGAAATTGATTGTGAGAATCATCCGAATCCATGTAGAATGATACCAGACACTGTATAAGAATTACTGGTTGTAGCAGGAAACCCCTCAAAGAGCCAGTTGTACTGTAGTTGATTTGGAAATGAAATTAAAAAAAAAACGAACCACTCAAATCAGAACACAGCTAAATGCTGTAAAAATTTAGTGATTTTTATAAGACACACAAATATACAGCTAGTAAATTATTGGACCTAAGAATTTTTAACTACAATCTATTAATTTGATCTCCTTTTTCTCAATAAATCATTAAGAGCAGTGGTTCTCAACAGGGGTAGGTGGGTGTTATAGTTGTCTATTGCTATGTAACAAATCACCCCAAAATTTAGTGGCTTAAGACAACAAATCATTATTATCACTGATGGTTCTGTGGGTCAACTGGGCTCAGGTGAGCAGCTCTCTCATGGTGCCTGTCATGTAGCTGCAGGCAGATATTGGCTGGGGTTGAATCATCTGAGAGTTCAACCGGGTTGGGTGTCCAAGATGGCTCCCTCACAGGACCGGCATTGATGCTCATTGCTGGCTGTGAGCTCAGCTGAATGTGTCAACCCGAGTGGCCAAATGTGGCCTCTCCTTCTAGTTTGTGACCCTCACAGCATGGTGGCTACACTCAGAGATGAAGTGTCCTGAGAGGGTGGATCCCAAGAGTGAGTGTTTCAAAGTCCCAGGTGGTAGCTCCTTATGATCTAATCTTGGAAGTTCCAGAATATTGCTTCTTCTGTATTCTTTTGTCTCAGTGAATCACTCAGGTCTTCCCAAAAGCAAAGGGAGAAGAATTTGATTTTGGCCTCTTGATCAGAGAGCAGCAAGTTACATTGCAGAAGAGTGTGTGGGATGGAAACTATTTCTGTGGCCATCTTTGGAAGATGCAATCTCTACCGGGGCGGTGGCGGGGGCGGGGGGGAGGGGGTGGTGGTGGTGAAAAGTTGTCTGAAGTTCTCTGAAATTGTTGACTAGTTTTAACCCGTTTATGTCTTTCTCTGAAGAGAACCCCAAATATTAGTAAGATTCTCAAAGGGATCTGCAACCAAAATAAATAAATAAAACGTAGAAACAATCACAAATCTAGGTAGATTATGGTATGTTACATAATTAAGTTTATTTTATACCCTGATATTCCTTTTAAAGATACTTGATCTCTGCTATTAACTTGGAATTGTTCAGCATCTAGCTATGATTCACTAACAAATTCATCCAATTAAACATTTTAAAAAATGTCAGATAATTCTGTCAGTGTGACAAGTTAAATAAAACCAGATACACATACACACACATACACTCATGTACACGTATATAAACATGGTCTGAATTTTAAACAGAGAAGCCTGATTAAATGGGGTTTGTATTTTGGACCACTGTTGCCACCAAGCTACCTGTATTTGACACTTAGGAGAGTTCTAATAGACTTAATATTCTACACACAGTTCGGGGAAATTTTCTTTTTAGATGCCTGCAGCACAGGGCACAATAATTTCCAACATACAGCATGAGATTTGACTACTTTATCTCAGCATATGTAACTATAACTGTTATTGTTCACAAAATTATCTGGTTTTTATTACAGCATTGGACTCTGTGACACCCCAGAATCCATGACTGCCTCAGACAGGCTCCATTTATAGTAAGAACTATTTCTGTTTATGCCGCTCTACTTGCTATTAGTTTCACGAACTTATGCCCTCTGGATTTCAATGGTGCGGGAATGGGAGGGCAGAGAATTCAGGAAGGGATGGATGCAGGAATCACCAGCCAGCTACATGTTCCACAAGAGGGGCATTTTTTTTGCTGCTGCTGTTGAGATTGAGGTGTCTCTTAAGTTTCTTTTTATCTCGCATGTTCATCTCCATTATCATCCTCTTTTCAAATGATACCTTCTTTTTTTTAAGTTTATTTTTGAAAGAGAGAGAGAGAGGGAGAGAGAGAGGGTAGGGGAGGGGCAGAGAGAGAGAGAGAGAGAAAGAGAGAGGGAGAGAATCCCAAGCAGGCTCCTTGCCCAACACAGGGCTCAGTCTCACGACGTTGAGATCACGACCTGAGCTGAAAGCAAGAGTCAGACGCTTGACTGATTGAACCACCCAGGTGCCCCTCAAGCAATGCCCTCTTAAAGAGACTGGGTCAGTTGTTCCGTAACATTCTGGGCTTTGCTGATTTTTTCAACACGTTTCCTATAGATTTAAAGGCTTGATTAGATTCAGGGTGAACATTTTTCCATGGATGCTTCACAGATGCTCCTATGTATTTCATATGACATCACACAAGGACGTGCAAAGTATCTATTTGCCTTGCCTTTAATGACACTGATTGATTGATCTGCAGATCCAGATGGGGACTGCCTGATTCCTGGCTGTAAAGTTGTTGGCTGACCTTCTGACTCCCTTGGAATAATATCTAGTTCCTCGTTTATATTTTGCTTCTTAGTTTTAGCATCCATAAATGTTTATTGCCTGAATCAGTTATTTCATTAGATGTAAAAGGGTGAATTTTTCTAATTTTATCATTTCTTCTACATTTACTAGCTAGAATACTTGTATAAGAAAACTCTCCCTCATTAACTAGGGCTATATTATAAAATTTTGAAAATAGAGTTTTCACATGGATGGCAGATCAAGGCTTACTTTTCCAGTTAATTACTAATTTTCAGAGAACAAGTTAATAGACTATGGCCAATAGTGATAAGTGAATTATGTCTGTTACTTTGGCTTTCTCTTTTGAGTATCATTATGAATTCAGGAATATTTATTTCATTATTGTGTTTTGATCAGTTGCCATTATTTTTCTTGTTGATGGTAAAATTGTCCACTTTTAGGCAGTGGGCAGATTCCCTGCTTTCCAGAATAACAAGATGATCTAGTCTCAGTTTGTCATTTGCCACTCCACCCCTGGAACCAGATCTCTCCAAGAATCCCCAGTTCCTTTTTCCGAGACTGTAGTCTGAATGCTAACATTCTCATCATTACTGGACTGTCATTGCTACTGGGTCTTTTCTGTGGACAGAACTTTAACATTTTGAATTTTAAAAGACTCATATTCACAATTCAAATGTATTTGAATATTCGATATATCACATTCAAATTTCAAATGTTCAAACAGTTTAAACGTAATCAAAAGTAACCTACACGTGATTATTGAATCATTATATCGTAGACCTGAAACTAATATAACACTGTTGATTGTACTTGAATTTAAAAAATAAATAAATAAAATGTTTTAAAGTAGCCTACTGGGTTTTTTAAAGTTTTATATCGTTATCTTCCTTCTCTCAGACATTACATTAATGTAATTACTTATTTATAAGTATAATAAACTTTAAAATGTCAATATAGCATAATGAGATATAGTAATATTATTACTAACAATCAGATACTGAATGCAGGTGAAGATTTCTTTGTATTTTTGTTAGAATATATTCCAGTAACGATGTGTGACATACCCTATATTTCAAAATACCCAATGGACCCAAGTATAGGCAAAAGCTTTTCTCTTGAGGAAGAAGAAAGGTCTAGCTATAGGTTAATGGTCAGAATGGCTTCGGTTACCTCGTCTGGGCCCTCCCCCAGCCCTGAGAAGGCAGGAGAAAAGGCCCGAGATGAGTAGACAGTGGGCTGCATTGGCCTGTGGACACAGCCCAGCCAGAGACGCTCTGAGCCCCGCCCTCCAGGACTGCTGGGTGCCTGTGGCCGCTGAGGACAGATGCCCCGAGCTGCACTGAACAAAGACAGATGAAATACGAGATTCGTGTCTATCTGCGCGCAGCGTCTGCGCAGTTGACTGCAAGCATGAGGTAGCCAGACACTTCACCGCAGTGTTGGGAATGTTTCATAGCAGTTCGGCACTTGAAAAGAATAAATTGTATAAATGAAAAGTATATACTTCCTCCCAGCCCCTAGATCATTCAGAACATTTCATTGGACAGTACGTGGCACCAGCCTGCCATTTTTGAGTGCATCACAGGGCTTGTTGCTATTATTTATCTTGTTCTTATCACGTTTAAGCATCTTATCACGTTTAAGCATCTTATCCCTGTACAGGAGAGAAAAGGTCTGTTCTGCGGGCTGTGTTTTTCAACCAGTGATTCAGGAGTACTGATACACTTGCTCTGTTTTGAGCTGCACTCACATTTCTGCTGGGAGGCAACAACAAGGAAAACACAGGTGAGCTTGGCAGCCTTTGGGGAGGCAGCAGGTGGGAGGAGAATAATCAAGAAAAGCAAAGAAAGGCTTTGGTTCTTTAGGTAAACGGAAACCTGTGTTCTCTCCCTTTGAGATGCTGCAAAGTAACAGTCTTGCTTTCTTCCCCTTCTCCCCTTTTCTTCTTCTGTTTTGCCCAAATCTGTTGTTTCAAGCTCAGAAGAGAGTGGTAACCTGTTCAGATCCAGTTCTCTGTCTCCCGTCTAATTAATTAGGCCTGGCCTCCAGGACCCCCGCCTTCCCACCACCTCACAAATCTTGGAAACCTGCTTAGTTCAATCCATCAGCCTGAATTACTGGGAACAATTTGGCCACTCTGTTTCGTATTCTTCTAGCCCTTTCCTTAACCCCTCATATTCACAAACTATTTGCTTAAGGCAATAATGTCAATCATTAATGTAATCAGCATTCCATAGAGAGCTTGCTAGAAATACCAGCTCCTCCAGCCTGCATTTAAATTCTGATCTAATAAGATCAAGTAATAATAGGGCTGTAGTGATACTGACGAAGGAAGTCCAGGACTTGCACTTCAAGGAAAAATGGCTTCAACACACGAGGAGAGGATGAAATAAAGGAGAGTCCTTAGATGCTGCCTGCGAAGCCCAGGCCTCCTAGGAGGATGGAGTACTACTCAGCAATATAAAGGAACTAACTGCTGATACACACCCATCAGGGGTGAATCTCAAAAGCCGTGGAAGAAGCCAGACACAGAGTGAATAGACAGAAATCAGATCAGTGACTGTTTGTGGGAGGGAGGGGAATTGATCGGGAAAAGGTCTGGGGGGATCTTCTTGGTGACGGAAATGTCTGTATCTTGATCGCCAAGGGTGTCTATTACAGGCACGTATGCCTGTGTCAAAATCTATCTAATTGTACATTTATGATCTGTGCTTTTCATTGCATGCAAATTATGTTGTAAAATTTTTTTACTTGAATATACCTACTTTGGGTGATGATAGAAAATATTTTTACCAACTTTTTTGGCAACGTGTATCTTTTAAAGGTATGCACGAGGCAAAAAAAAAAAAAAAAACCTCTCAAGATAGAAGACAATTTAACATAGTGCTGAAAATACGGCATGCACTCAATAAAAGTGTATTGACAACTAATAGCCATTGCATAAGTTTGTTTGTAAGATGCCTCCTTTCAGCCCAACATTATAGTCAAATTCAGCACTATCTACAAGATTAAAATTTCCCAGCCCTAAAAAATATTTTTAGTAACCCTCCATTCCGTCAGTCCAGTTATGCAGCCCTTTCATGGGAGTATAATAAATAAAATCAATACTTTTTATTACTTCACTGCCAGAAACTTACTACACCCAGATTCAAAAGCATAAGGCTGTCTGCAAGGCTGATGTACCCTTCAAGGAGTATTTTATGAGGAAAGCATACTGTTATAATTTTGCAAGAATAAGGAAAGCTACCTTTAAATCATAAGAAGTATTTCTTAGGTTGAAGAAGTATATATAAGGGCTATCAATCCCCTATATATGATCTCTAGCTAGATAAATGCAGGGGGGAAATCAGGTTTCTTCTAAAGACATAAAATTTCCTGAAAAATATATACTGGATGAATTTTATATTTCTATAATAAAAAGTATGCACTGCCAAGTCTCAGGAAAATTGGACAAATGGCTCAGTAAGACTTATCTTTCTTAATTGTCATGTGTTTCTAGAGGTAACTGGTCTCATGTGACTTTTTTCCTTTAAGTTTTCAACCCCTTTGAAGACTAAAACCCACCCCCCCCCAAAAAAATCAAAGAACAAACCATGCAAAAATGCAAATCAAACTAAAGTTTCAGGCTAAAAGATAATTTACAGTTAGATTATTATGTAGAAAACAATGCTGAAGATACAACTTTGAAAACATTCTTTAGCGACAGGAACTCCCCAAATATTTTCAATTGTTTTGTCACTGGAGAATTCACATACAGAGAAGAAATAAACAATAAAACATTATAAGGTAGCTTTTACTGGAGAAATATGATTTTCTTTTTCAATTTCTAGAGGATATAATTTTTAAAGGAGAAAAATAGAAATAATGAAAAAAGTGAGGACAATTCAAAAACTGGGAAGAGTTTTAAATCCCTCAACCACATATAAAATTTTTCATTTTATTATAAAAGAATTAGGACTTTAACAACCAAACTATATCTATTCCAGTGATCCCAAAGTGTGATCTCCCAACCAGCAGCCCCAGGATCATCTGGGAACTTGTTTTTAAATGCACATTCTTAGGACTGCCTGGGTGGCTCAGTCGGTTAAGCCTCAGGCTTTGATTTCAGCTCGGGTAATGATCTTGAGATTGGTTGAGTTGGAGCCCTGAGTTGGGCTCTGCACTGATAGCACAGAGCCTGCTTGGGATTCTCTCTCTCTCTCTCTCTCTCTCTGACTCCCCCCTGCTTGCTCCCTCTCTCTCTCTCTCTCTCAAATTAAATAAATAAATAACTTTAAAAAATTAAATGCATTCTTGGGCCCAACCCAAGCCTACTAAAGTCAGAAGCTCTGGGGGCAAAGCCCAGCTATCTGTGTTTTAACAAGCCTTCTGGGTAATTGTGACACAGGGTAAAGTCTGAGAACCATTGATTCATTCCAGAAACATTTATGGGGTGCCCTTTGTAGGCCAGGCTCTGAGAAAGGCTTTGAGGACAGAAAATAAGGAATTAACATGATCCATAGTTTAATCAGTCACAAAGAAAAAGAATATTAGCTAGTAACGTCATTTTTTTAAATACAGGAAAATAGGAGACGTCCTTGGTAGAGCTCCATCAAGTAAAGCTACCAAGGACACTGAGGAATTTTACTGAGGTTGGGGCAATCATGCTCAGCAACAATTACCTGGAAGGGTTTGTTTTTTTCTTTTCTTTCTTTCTTTCTTTCTTTCTTTCTTTCTTTCTTTCTTTCTTTTCTTTCCTTCTTTCCTTCTTTCTTTTTTTCCAGAAACACATGTGCTGGCCCTCTCCAGACCTCTGGGATCACAATCGCCTAGAGTGGGGCTCAGGAAAACTCTGTTTTTCACAGTTCCCTCTAGTAAGTAATTCTGATGTTTACCAGAGTTAATAGTGATGCTCTGTAGAGATGTCTCAGGATCTGTGTTTGCCCGGCTGCTGGGCTGGCAGCCTCTCCAGGTATGGTCTGTGGATTACCTGTACTGAATCACCTTCAGGAGGGGAGAACATCAGTGTACTAGCACATAAAATGTAGATCCCCAAAACTAAACCACTGAGTCAGAATCTCTGGGGACAGGGCTCAGGACTATGCACTTTTTACAAATTCTCAAGTGATTTTTAAGCACATAGCAATTTGAAGTTTACTACCTTGTGGATCTCCCCAAGGACTACTTCTCAATGGTGCGACTGGGTGCCTCAGATTGGGTAAGCGTCTGCTTCTTGAGTTTGGCTCAAGTCATGATCTCACAGTTGGTGGGTTCAAGCCCCACATGGGGCTTTGCGCTGACAGTGCAGAGCCAGCTTGGGACTCTTTCCTTCTCCCTTCTGTCTCTGCCCCTCTCCTGTGCGAACTCTCTGTCTCTCAGAATAAGTAAATAAACTTTAAAAAAAAGTCCCCTAATTTCTTCTGTCTCTCGATATGTATGGTGGATAAATAATGCCCCCTCAAAACGTCCACATCCTAATCCCCAGAATCTGTGAAATCTACATGGCAAAAAGGACTTTCTAGATACAATGAAGTTAGCTAAGATTCTTGAGATGGGTGATTCTCCTGGATTATCTGGACGAGTTGAAGATGATCCCAGAGCTCCTTACAAGAGGGAGGCTCACGGATCAGAAAAGAGATGTGACAACAGAAAAAGAGGATAAGAGTCAGAGAGAGCTTTAAGGATGCTACCCTGCTGGTTTTGAAGATGGAGGAGGGGCCCACAAGCCAAGAGATACAGACAGTCTTTAGAAGCTGAAAAAGGCAAGGACACAGATTCTCCCCCGGAGCCTCCTGAAAGAACGAAGCCCTGCCCTCACCTTGATTTGGGCCCAACGTAAACGCATCTCAGGATTCTGACCCAACTTGTGATTATTTGTTATAACAGTGATAGGACACTAATATGATATGTAAAAGACACAGAAAGGAACATAATACAGGGACAAACTACACTATTACTGCAGAAGCTTATCTTATTTGGAGAGTCTACCGCCAAGAGAGAAAGAATATTTAGTGTTCCCTTGAAATTTATTCTTATCAAACAATTTCTTTGGGTAGAGGTCTTAATTAGATGCAGGGTTCCAGTGATCATAGTAAACAATTCCAGAACCTTAAAAAAGAAAAGAAAAGAAAAGAAAAGAAAAGAAAAGAAAAGAAAAGAAAAGAAAAAAACCTTAGTTGCTCAGTAGCTGTAAGATTTCCTTTTCAGATTCAATCTTCAGGACATTATCAAAAGATATGGAAGGCCACCAGCTCATGACATCTTTTCCCTAGTGTCTACTCCCATGTAGCAGACAAGGCCCCAAATCCTCAATTCAGAGGAAGAATCAGGGAAAGAATTCATAATGGACATACTTCATGTGCTGTCATCAGTTACACAAACCAGTAGAAAAGCACCCCCCCCCGGGGCGGGGGGGGGGGGGGTAGAAAGACTTCAAAATCCTCTTACATTATCAGCCGCTTCTTTAAGCAGTGATTCTCAAGCGAGAGCCTGCATCAGGTCACCTGAAGGGCCCCCTCCCAAGGTTACCGATGCAGGAAATCTGGGCTGAAGCCCCCTGCTCTGCTGCCTGTCCAGGATCACATCCTGAAAACTGCTGACCCGAGCAATGGGTCCACCATTGCCTCCACATTAGCATCGCACGGGGACATCGAGTCCTGATGGCCCACCTCAGGCCAATTAAATCTGACTTGCTGATGGTGAGACCAGCTAACATGATTTTCAATCTCGGCAGGTGATGCCATTGTGCAATTAAAGCTTGGGACCTCTGTCCTAAAGGCCAAAGTAACAATGAAGGAAGGGTGTGA